ATGTGTTATATATATATATATATATATATTTATGTGTGCCACGATTAAACTATTAAGAATTTGATAAAAATGAAAGATTTGAGTTAGGAGTTTTTCCGTAATTTTTTATGCTTAAGTGAGAATTTGAAAAATGGATAAGAAGGAGGAGTTGATTTGTAAATAATAGGTTTCGGGTGGTCTGCGTATGCTTATACAACATCAAAATATCGATATGAAATTAAAATATATACATAAAAATGTAAATTTTATAGAAAGGAACTATTTTTTTTGTATTATTTATGAAATAGAATGGCAAAAAAATAATTAGATATTAAATATGTAATTATAAAGCATTTCATCTATAGCCAGTGGTTGATAGCATTAGTTCTCATTACTTGACTATAAAGATGACACATTTATGCATTGGCTACCATTTTTACCCAATAACCCAACAAAATATCAATACATTATAATTAAAATTTCATTTTTTTTTAATTTTATTCAAAACATCAAGATATTATAATTCCCTCATCCCGATCTCTTTTTCTTCCCGAAAAATATTACATCATAACTCCGAATACATTTGGAGTCCACCACCACATGTCAAGTGAACTCTATTATTTTTAACACTGACTAAAATCAGTATATTACGGTATAACCCACTTGACACGTGACGGCCCACCATTAAACTCCGAACGCAACATCTCACGTTTCTCAATTTGTTGATAATATTTTCTCCTGCTCCCAGTAACAAATTGTCACCTCTGGTTCTTCTCACCGACGTTATATTGACAAGCTCTCCGCCCTTTTCCCTCCCTCTCTCTTCCAACATCGCCGAACAGGACAGACAGAAGTCAAAACATACAAAAAAGCATATAGAGCAGCTTGATGGAAGAAGGCCAGAAATGAGAGACAGAGCATCTGCTGTATTAAAGAAAACCCATTTCCTTCCCTTCATTCAATTCTCCTCCTATATATAATGCCCCTAATTATCCCTCACCCCCATTCTCAAACCAGAGGGCAAACAAAGCTCGCTGAATCCTCCTCTGCTAATCGGTGACTCCCAAAACTCATTCTTTTCTCCCTTCTCCTGTTTTTCAATCATCTCATATACATAAAAATCCCTTTTTTTTTGTTTTGATTTGGAGAGGATGAGCCGTAACGCAGGGAAGAGAGCGAAGGAGGAGCTGAGATTGAACTTAACGAGAGGAGGAACGTCGAGAATGGCGGGGAGGGATGAGCGTTCGCCGAAGCGGTCGTCTACTTCGTCTTCTTCCCCGCCGAGCTCCTGCGTATCGTCGGAGAATGAGCAGAAACAGGGGGACAGCCCTGAAACCAAGTCTATGGTGCTTGCCGGCTGCCCTCGTTGCCTCATATATGTCATGCTTTCGGAGGAGGATCCCAAGTGCCCCAACTGCAAGAGCGCCGTTCTGCTTGACTTCCGCCATGGAAATAACTTGGGTAAGACCAGCAAGAGCTAGATGAGCTAATGCTGCCATGTTTAGACTTATGTTCTATAATCTAAACTTTGGAATCAGCGTTTAGTTTTGGATTACTTCAATTTGCTAAGTTGTTTGCTAGTCTTTGCCACTTTATTTAAGAATCATTATGATGTTTCACTTTCTGGCGTGAGTGATGGTTAAGAAAATGTAAGCTGATTTAATATATGGGAAAATGAATTTTGTCATCTTCTGAAGCTGTATGATCTGTTCTGTAATCACAGTTAAAGAACTTGCGAAGGTGATGTGATTTTCTTCAATCAGATTCTGGATTTTGTAATGGATGGAAAATAAAACAAAAGAATAAATAATTTCATGAGGTGTTTTTTACTATAAAAAAAAATAGATGGGTGATTAAAGGGGCAACAAAGGTTACATTTTTATTTATTAAACAAAATATTTTTTAGCCTTAAAAAATAATTTTTTGCATAATTTTTGGATTCTTATATGCACATTTTAGAATGATCGCAGACGTGACTATCACAATCTGATCCCAAGTCCAGACAAAATAAAAGTTGCATGCTTTAAAAAAAATTCATAATGTTACGACGACAAAATTCATAATGTTACGACAACTTAGAGATGATAAACGATGAAAAAAACAGTTGTGTCGAAGAAGGTCAACCATATAATCAATTAATCATTTGGATATAACAAATCATTCAATCTTGGAAGGTCAAATCCCTTCTTTAAGGATGAAAATCTTATCTTGGCCGCCATAGTCGGAACACTTGATTCAATTAATCCAAGTATAATTTTAAAGAAGCTTATGGCTTACCCATAATTAGTTGCTAGGATAAAAATAATTGATGTCAAAGCTTATCACAAAGCTTGTCTTACAATGACAACGCACTTGTTGCCAATCACGAAAATTTGAGACAAGAAATAAGTCTTAAGTTGTGTTTTGTGATGGTTGAGAGTCATGGAAAACATTACAAAAACAGATAGAAACAAGCTGTCTCTCTCTATTGTTTTCAGTAAAACATTACTCATTCTCTCTTTATTTTCTTATTTGGATTCTAGTTAATTTCATCTTTTTGCCGCTCATGCATCAAATATGAGCAAAGTATGAAACAATAACTTATATGAATTTTTATTAGTTATTATGATTATTATATTCAATTATTATATTATTTATTTATTTAAAATTTGCGCAGCCTAAAAAAGTTGAGCTGGTTCCATCCTGTCACTGGTCATTTCTCACTTTGGCACATTAAAATTAGATTAAAATTTATGAAGAAACTTAGGTTCATATGTTACCATTATCTTGACTATTTGAAGTACGAAAAATTATTTCATACGAAGATGACCGCACGCAGAGTTGTGGGCGGTCACTCAATAAAAAGCTGTACGAAGTGGGCCCCACTTTAAAAAATTAATTTTTCGTACTTCAAATAGTCAAGATAATGGTAACATATGAACCTAAGTTTCTTCATAAATTTTAATCTAATTTTAATGTGCCACGTTTCTTTTCATCGAGTATGTTTTCTTTCCAAAGATGATGTACCAAAGGAATGCCAGTTGGTGCTTATTAATTGTAAACCCTCAGAATTTAAGCAAATTCAATGGAGTATTAGTAGTTGCATTTTCTACAGTTTGTGCGGCTTTGAATTTAAAATATTCTTACAATTTTATATTCATTGGTGCATCAAACCGCCACATCATGCACAAGATAGTATGTTAAATATGTAAAAATTTTCACCAATTTAACTCTCAAAAAGTGAAAAACAACCTTTCATGCGTAAGATTACATGCTAGATATGTAAATACAGAAGAATTGAGTGGTATGTATGTAAATCTTTATTTTTTAGAAGAAGCTTTTTAAATTACTTGTCTTTAGTACTTCTTGTCAATTGAGGAATCTAGTCATTGAACTATCTTCACAAATGATCACTTGAAAATCAACGTGGCCTCAAGTTTCCACATGGCTCACACAAACTTTCTTGTGTTTCAATAGGATTAGGTCTTTCACTAAGTACTAATTTCAATACACTAGCCTGTCCCCTCTTAAGAACATTGTCACACCTAAAGATACATCAATAAGGAAGGAACACACTCAAATCAAGAAGTTTTTCTGAAAATATCATTTGATATTATGATAATCCCATCAATAAGGGAAGAACACACTCAAATTAAAATTTTGTTTTTTGAAAGTATCATTCAATACTATGGTAATCCCAACATTGACATCTTCATGATTAGTTTTTCAAGTTCATGGACTCCTTGTTATAAGACTATTAACAATCTAAGTTCATCCTGAATTTTTTTATTTAAACTTCTTTTGTAATATTCATAAATTTCATAATATGTGCAAACACTTTATTTTATTAAATTTGTAACATTCATACATATTTAATGTCATTTAAGTTTAAACTTTATCTATTACATCAAGGGAGAGAAAAAAAAAAGACCATTATACTGAGGTACTCTTTTTTTAGAGAGAATTTATACAAAAAAATTTTTGAGGCCATCGTTGATCGCTTTGAAGAGATCAATCTCAAGTTAGTTTATTATTGAATAAGTAATATCTCATTAATTAATGATTCTTTGACATCTTACTCTATATGTTATATGACGTTGATGTCTTTTGATGCATCAAGAAAATAGAAGGATTATTATTTTTTCATGTTTTAAAATTATATGAATATGTTATAATTGCATAATTTTCTTGCCAATTTTGTAACTTCCGCTTCTTTTCAAAAATTTGAATAATAATTTCATGCATTATTCTACAAAATAAAACCAACATAGATGACATTAACATCATCAATAAATTCACTAGATTTGTTGACCATCAACGAAACAAAAGTTAAATTCATTGCCCTTACATAAAAAATGAGAGATCCAAAAGACAATAATAATTGCAGATTCACTACATCCACCACAGAAAGTACTTGCAAAATAATAGCCAAAAGAAGGAATAAAGCTAGCATAAGGAGCAAAAAATAATGTATTTTTTAATAGAATTTTTCAAAAATAGGAGTTGAAAATAAATAGTAATAGTAGGCACTATGACAAACAAGAACCGTTAAAATGCTATTCAATTTATTAACAACATTTTATCCATAATATTTATTTTGAATTTTATTTTTTTCTTTTATGACAGTTACTAAAAAATACTATTTTCTTTCAACATATGGGCAAATGTAAGTCTATCTTCAAAGAAGATCTTGTTTCTCTGATTCCATAAATAGTAAGAAGTTGTGCGCTGCTAAGAAGATAAAACACATATAAATATTTCAGTTTAAAATGCCAACATGAATTCAAACTTAGGGGAGGTATAATTTTTTGAAAAAAGAAGTCCATAAAAAATAAAAACTTTAAGAATATGAAACAAAATTGGACTTTCAAAGGATAGAAGACAATGTGTCTCCTTTTGAGCTAGCAAGATAACATAAAATTTTATATTATCTATACTATGCTTAACAAAAATATTTTGTTTTCAAACTAGCAATGTATATTTTTCTAAGCAAACATAGGCAATTACATTTTTTCAACTATTTTTTCAGACATTGTTATGGAAATAAGAGAAGAAATTTATTTAAGAATTCATTGGTTTCTCCAAAAGGGCTACTAAGCTCATTAATATATATAAGTTAAAAAAAAACTAAATTCTCTAAATATTTATTACAAGGTAAAGATTATTCATCTTTAGTAATGAAATCCCTAACATAGGTGAAATAATTAAAGTTCTAAGAGTTGAACAATGAAAATCAATAGTATAAAAATTTCAATCAAAGAGCCCCTCATTGGCTATGTGTTATAAAAGGACTAGAGAGAATTTCAGTTGTTTTTATTTTATTTTATTATTTATTATTTTTTTGTGATAGTAAAGCATTGGATTGCATTACTCATAATACCACAATGAAATTCTTAAAAAGTTATGTAGAGGGTGTTATTTTCTTTGGATAGAAACATATATAACAAAAATCTATTTTGCTTGTTATGAGTCCTTATTATAAAACATCCAAATTAGTTTTTTTTTGCTCATTATCTTCATTACATCAAGTGATGGTGGCAAAGGCCTCTTTTTTCAATTGGTAGGGTTGTGGTTTTTAAACAAATGGTAGATAGTGTCTTCTCTATCCTATCCACTTATGATATAAGAGATTACACCAAAGTGTGTAGATCCTTTTAAGAGTTCACATAGGGATACTCACTACATGGAACCAATGCATGAGAAAATTTTAATGGATAAAATAGTTGAAATCAACCAAAAACAAGGGAGTAATTGCATTTTTTTTGCCATTAAAGTAGGATTCAAGCTATGTCATAATAATGCAACATTCATTAGCTTTGATTTTTTATGAAGAGAAAATAATACCAAGTAGTTCCCAGTAAAAAATATATAATTACAAAAATTTTTAGAAAGTTGAGAGGAAATATTCAAAATAACAACTTTAGAGATATAAAAAGCTTATTTGCTAAGCTAATACTAATATCAGTAACCATATACAATTATGGAAAAAGTATTTAAGATAGCAAATAATTAGATAGGTCATTAACATATAAGTATTTTGAGATAACCATGTAGCTATGTAAGGGTTTTCAATTGCTTTGAAAACCACTATATTATAATTATTTTTCATGAACTTTTGGAAATTATTATTCATCAAAAGTATATAAAAGAGGAGTTATAGGTAACTTTTTCATGAACCCTTAGAAGTAGGAAAAAAAGTTCAAGGTTACCATTGATAACCATAGAGAAATACACATACAAGGTTTAAAAAGTGATCAATTTAATAAAAATCTACGGGAAACCCATTAATCCAGATTACTTATGGAGAAAGATATGATTCAAATTATCAAAAGCTTTATTAAAATTAATCTTTACGCATAAGAATTATTTAATGTTTGAAGAGTTAGGCCCAATGAGATTCTTAAAAGCTAGAATAACGTAATAAAAAATATAACCCCTTAATAAAACCAAATTATGTAATATGAATACGAGTAAGAAAATGTAAATTAATCTCTAAATATAGATTAGAAAAATGACCTCAGAGATAGTGTTGCAAGAAGATATGAGTCCTTAGTCAAGGCAAGTGTCAACCAAAATTTTCTGGAGAATAAGAGTGATTATAGAATGCTTAATCATTTAAGAAGTTTGCCAATTGAAAGGAAATAATGCAATATTGCACGACCTCCATGAAATAAGGATAAATGATATCCCACATATCAATGAATAATACTAATAGAAAGCCATTAATCTAAGGCTTTTACATTTTTTAATAGTAAAAATACAAGTATTTTT